TACTTTTGAAATACATACATTATGTTTGAAATGTAATCATTTTAATTAATGTTTTGAGCCCATTTCTCATCATATAAATACATTGTGGCTGAGTTGTTCCCCTGTGTCCCGTTGTTTGTGAAATCTGATGATATTTTGGCCTGTGAACTGTCCCTGTGTTACAGGCATCTGTGGTGTAGTAGTTAGACTCTTCACTGCTGCATTCCGAAAACATGAGTTCCATTACCGAGGGCAGAATTAATTTTTATCGAGTGTGTCCGTCTGTCTTCCGTGAACTCTGTGAACTCTGTGAATTCTGTGAACTCCGTAAAGCATCTTTCACTGTGTGACAAGGGCGTAGATCCAAGTATTTTTTCACAACTTTATGATTCTATTTGGTCTTCATCAATGTGAAGAAAATGTTCACCTGTATGAGTCCCCCATGGTCTACTGTGTAGTTTTACTGTTGCTATCATCTGTGTGTATTTGAAGGGAAATGTGGCTGTTACAAACATGTGATAAATCATGAACAATGTGATAAAACTCGTCTCAGATCTTGCAGACCGATACTTTTGCCCCTTTATTTCAGCGTTGGTTTTTACTCATTTTTATAGCCAAAGTTTACCATTTGTAGATTGAGAAATGAGAAATACTGTACTTGAGAATTTACTTGGAAAAGATTTTTATTTGGGTTTGTGTTTCGACCAATAGCTAATTTTGGTGGCCTGTGTGGCAAATGTTTTCTCCAAATGAAACGTGGAAATAGATGACGTGCAGAACCAATAAAGTGAATTTTGTCCTCTCAAAGGAAGAAGTTTGTGTTTGTCGTATTTGTCCTACCAAAGGAAGGAAGAAGTTTGTGTTTGTCGTATTTGTCCTCTCAAAGGAAGAAGTTTGTGTTTGTCGTATTTGTGTGAGGGGATCTCTTGCTGTACAGGTTTCTGTGGTGTAGTGGGTAGGTGCTTTGTCCCTGTATGCGCTGGATGTGAGTTCAGTTTTTGTCTGTGTAGATGGATGTGAGTTCAGTTTTTGTCTGTGTTAGGTGGATGTGAGTTCAGTTTTTGTCTGTGTTAGGTGGATGTGAGTTCAGTTTTTGTCTGTGTTAGGTGGATGTGAGTTCAGTTTTTGTCTGTGTAGCTGGATGTGTGGTTATCGTGAGTGGGTGAGTGCTGGGCTGTGTGGCCTGTGTTTATTGTTTGTGTCTGTAGAACACAGATGAGTGAGTGTGTCTGCTCAGAGTATATCGTGAGTGGGTGAGTGGCAAGGTGGGCGCACCAGTTCTATTTCTTTCTAATTTTCTCTCTCTGTCTGTATAATGTCTGTCTGTCTGTCTGTCTGTCTGTCTGTCTGTCTGTCTGTCTGTCTGTCTGTCGTCGGTCTGTCTGTCTGTATATATGTCTGTCGTCTGTCTGTCGGTCTGTCTGTCTGTATATCTGTCTGTCTGTCTGTCTGTCGGTCTGTCTGTCTGTCCTGCCATTGGCGTGCACTAAAAGACAGGAAGTGTATCAATGTGTTTCATTTCACTCAAACAAACAAACAAATCAACCAACCAACCAACAAAGAGCCAGAGGCTGGTATGATCAAATAATGACCGTACCCACGCTGTATTCAAGGAGATGCTCATGTACATAGGACTTTATTATTAATATCATTATCTCCAAGTCTCTCATGCCACCCTGACCTTGACCGGAGGGTCACCGAGCTCTCCCAGCTGATGACCTTGACACAACTGACCTCAGTGCGTCTCCCTAGTGACCGTGACCTCACACAGGTACCTGCCGCTGTCCGTGCACTTGTCGTTGGCCATGCGGATGACGGAAGACCCTCTCTTGACCAGATTTATGCAGGAAGGGGGGTTGTAGACGTTCCTGGGTCTATTGGGGAAGAAGTCGATGAAGAGCGGGAACTCGCTGTCCGTGCTGTTGTCGTAGTAGCTCCCCGGGTCTGCTGCGCCGTTCACGATGACGTCATCGATGATGGCGTTGACGTCGAGGGTGAGGGAGGAGCGGAAGTTCTCGGGGTCGCTCATGGTGAAGGGCGAGATGCCGGAGATGTGAACTTTGTGCAGTTGTGCCACTTTGTGTTCTGGACAGCGGGGACCGTGGGAGGAAACAGTTGGGTGTCAGTTTAGTCCACGGTCTACCACCATGCTTTGTTGTTCTAGTTCACGGTCTACCACCATGTTTTGTTGTTCTAGTTCACGGTCTACCACCATGCTTTGTTGTTCTAGTTCACGGTCTACCACCATGTTTTGTTCTCGTTCACGGTCTACCCTGATGTTTTTGTTACATTTTTGGGGGTAAGTGTTTTGCGGCGCTCGCAACTACATAAGGTCATATGAGCGCACGGGACACATTAAACGTTTTCAGTAGGTAGGAAATTTTGAATTTTGCCCGGATGGCAGCCAAAGCCTACTCTTATCAATTTTAGACCACCGAGGGATATCTAATGTGCGCAACTTGCACATGGGCTCTCCGACATTTTTCGCCCTTGTCCGAGAAGGCTAGGTGTAGATATTTCCTACCAGAAGATCAGGGGTGTGGCAGAAAGACAGCTGTAAGAAGGAGCCAAGGAGTAGCAGTAGAAAGGCTGCAGAAAGAATCAGGAGCCCAGAGGAGGGGGCAAAGGAGGTGAGGGGGTGGGGGCAGAAAGAGGAGACGAAAGAAGAAGACAGAACATTGCTAGAGAGCAGGAAAGGATCCGAGGTGAAAGGAGACAATTTTAGAGAATATGATTTTTCGATTGCTACCCTGATTCGAACCCGGGACCTTTGAATGAGAGGCCAACACCTTCAGATCTAGGCCACGAGAGCCCCCCTTTGTTATATGTGACAGTCTACCACTATGTTTCTGTTCTAGTTGACGGTCTATTTAACGGTCTACCGTCAAGTAGAACAGACACATGGTGGTAGACAGCCCTCGTCGTGGTAGAGGTAGGGTGAGGTTAGAAGAAGAAAAAGAAGAAGAAGAAGAAGAAGAAGAAGAAGAAGAAGAAGAAGAAGAAGAAGAAGAAAAAGAAGAAGAAGAAGAAGAAG